CCCGCGGGCTGATCACCCCGCAGCGGCCTCCGCTCCGGGCTGGTGGCCGGAACAGGCCCCCCTGCCAGCCTGATCACCCCCAACTGCCCTCCCCTCCTGGCCTGATCGCCCCTAACAGCCTCTGCCTTGGCCCGCAACCATGGCTTTGTCCGGAAGATGTCCGGAAGGCTCCTGGCCTAATTAGCATATTACCCTTTATTAGTATAGATATAATTATGATCTTGACGTTTGCTTAAATTTGAAATGATCTCAGTGATGAATCATTAGGATAACCTTGAAAGTTTATTTTAACCTGAATTCTGAATATAATCGTATACCTTATGTTACCCACACTTCTTACCTCTAATAACAAAATTGCCTGTACTGATATCTTAACATTGTTTCCATCATTACCCTTGAAACTTTGCACTCCATTGGCAATAATTTTTTTTGAACTGGAAATAGGAGCTTCTAATACGTATAAAAGGTGCTATCCTAAAAACATTTTTCTCATCTAAACCCTCCATTTCCAAAGAAACCAGTAACATCAGAGCTTAATGAGTTCCTCTTCTAATAAAATACTCTACTGAATACACATTTATGATATGGGTTGATATATATATTTTTAGATAATTGGGGTCAAACCATTGAATTTTTGTTTTCTTGGTGACTTTATCTTTTGTTTTTTAGAACGACAGCAATTCATCAGGGGTAGGTGGACCAGTGAAAATAACAGAAAACCGATCAAAGAAGACCAGTTTCTTCCGGTGTTCGCTACTTTGATGAACTTTTTCTGAGAGACTGCAGCACACCTAGAGGACTCTTTCCTGCTTCTCTGAAAGCACAGGTCATCCAGCCTCAGAATCACACCGCCAGCCTGCTGCTGAGAGCACCACCGAGCCTAGACCTCTCGACACAGAACACCTAGTGGATTCCAGCCACATGGCCTAGCGAGACAACAGGCTCCTTTTTTTCAAACATGGAAGCAATGAAATGGAGACTCATGCAAGACTTGTTTTTCTCTTTGTTTTATTGCCTGTTGCAGAAGCTGCTATCTTTTCTTTTTCACTTTGCACATCAGTGTTAGCCTTTCCCTCTTATAGCGTCTTAGACTCTCACATGCACACTTTTGTCTCATAAAGTTCTAGACAAATTTGTGCTTTGGGGGTGTTTAAAACAAGAGTAGAAGATTTAAAGCAGAGGTCAATATAACTAAAATTAAAGGACATTTGGTTTGATGTTCATATGGCCAGATGTTATTACATTCATGGCATTTACTTAAGGGCTCTGATTTGTGATTTTCTTAAATAAGAATCATTAAATTCTGATAAAATGTATCTTAAAAATTTATAAAAATGTCCACCTATTCATCATAGGCTGTAATTTTTTTATTTCTTATTGTTTAGCACTTTGCTTCATTCTTGACTTTTTAGCCAGAGTCTGGGTAGCTGAAGAAATCACTTTTCAGTTGATTCCCTCTGCCTAATCTATAAAAACTGCATTTGGAAATGACCTTAATCTCATTTTTCCTGGGGTTCATATTTGCTGTCTTTTCCTATGTTTGACCTATTGTAATCAGTCAGTTATCTAAAACATAACATATTTGACCATTGTTGTTTGCTTCTAGTTGTGAACTCTTGAGCTGAAATTTTACATGGGCAGAGAGATGTACCATTTAGGGTTTTATTTCAGCGTCTAATTGCGGTTCCATCACATTAGCATACATAATATATTTTGTCTTAGGTTTACTCCCCGGCTTGCTGATTTAGTTGTAATACCCAATTCCTACCATGATTCCTGTGTACAAGAGTTAACAAGAGTTAATTTAAATTTTAAAGCTTACCTAAAGGAAGAGATATGACTTTTTAACATAAATTTAGTAGAAATAGCTCTTGGTAATGGTGAAAATGATTTTTCGTTCTGTTTTTACTTGGGTTTTCAAACAAAATAAGAATAAATAGATTTAGTGCAGCCTCTAGGAAAAGTCTTGCTTTTTCATTAGAGACAATATGAGCAAGGTTTCAGTTTTAAAACAGCTACTGTTGAATGTGTAGAACCCAGTTCCATCTGTTCAGGTTTGTTGTTAGAGAACTTGGTCCAGTCATCTGGGCTGAAGCCAACCAAAAGCTTAGCTGTCTTTCTCACCAAACCCTGGAACTGGGATACCTTTTGTAGATGAAACCATCACATAGGAAAAGAAAGGGATTCAGTGTTAACTGTGTGCCAAATTAAGGTCATGATGTCATTGCTGTTATCCTAGCCTTCAGTGTCATAACACAGGGGAGTAACAAAGAGGTGATGAAGGAAATGAATTCTGTTGATAATTATTCCTCCTCTTAGGCCTGTTTTGTTTCACAGAGTTTACCATCATGCTTGAAATTAAGAATTGGAAATGGAAGTGGAAACAGATTGCTTGTTACCACAGAGAATTCTGCTTCAAATTAAGATGTATCATAGGATGCCTGAACCATTCAAACTTTTTGAAAACTTATGCACAATTTAGCTATAGCAAATATAAATATTCAGAGCTATTTTTGATGGGGTACACTAAATATTGTTAACAGATTTTTTAAAAACTTACCTATAGGCTTAAAGGCATCTGTTGGTGCCGAGTATAATCAAGTGGTTCCTTGCATGAAAGTTTGTAAGTCTACCATCTTAAAATTAGATACATCTTTGGAAATAAAAAATAATTTCTTAGAAACATCTTGTATTCACTAATTTTCTGAAAAAAATTCCAAGCAGTTAAGCTTTCTGGAGGGTAACAAAGTAGTTTCTAAAAGGCAAGTGCTATGACACCATGTATGAATGTAATTCTCTTAGTAATTTACCTCTGACTATTTGGTGTCTTAACACTTTGGTTTATATTATCTCAGGGGTTTTCTGCAAACCAAAACTGACATATCCTATGGTTAGTTGTTTTTTTTTAACAATGCTTTGCTTTTGTTTTATTCTTTCTCTCTTCTTTTGTCTTATATGGATTAATAACTAGTCTCCATGAAATGCCCTTTGAAAGAGCCGTGAAAGCTAGATGAGTCTAAAGGTGCTCTTTGAAGTAGCAGCAATTTGGGGTATATGCTCTGTTGTATATAAACAAATCGTCCTTGCTATTTTCTTACATTTAGTCTTGCTAAATTGTATATAATTTGAGCTAAGACCATAGGAAATTCACCTGCATGGTAAAATGACCCAATAAATATTCCAATTTGCTTAATAATGTACATATAGTGCATTATTTTTTCTATTTGTAGATGAATTTAGTGAGAGATAATTGTCTGTTCCCTGCTGAAACTGAAGAAATCTAGTTTTGTGTGAACATTTCTGTGGTCTATGGGTCAGGTACATGAAGATTTTGCAGCAGTACTAGTGGTATTCAGTGGCTGCGCTTTATTGTCAGTGTGCTCATTTCTGCCAATGATTGACTAGACCTTTTCAAATAGAGTCTGAGGGTATCAGACAATGGAAATGTGCTGTAACTTAGCAGCATGAAAATCAGTGGATTGTAAAATGTTTCACTGGGAACTGATTTTAGCTCTATTTTACTTCAGACAGATTATAAGAAAACAACCCACCTGTGCATCCGTTAGGAGGTGCTGCAGGGTTTCTTACTATTTACATGAACATTTTGTGCAGTCTTGATTATACATTTTCAGAAGACTATACTCTTTACTTTGAAGGACTATTTTTTATTATACCTCATTTAGCTAACTAGTGTTCTAATACCCGGTAGAAAAACAGTGAGCCAGCCTTTATGCATCCAACACAATTTAGATTATATGTTTTGTTTTGAACTAAAGGCATCATTGGGAAAGGTAGGAGGTAGTTTAGAATAGAACATACATGTCATAGCCAATAGTGCAGAAAAGTATTATCTCCCTATCTCCATTAATAAATTTAGCTGTGCAATATAGATAAATGTTTGCAGAAATTTCTAATAAGAGATTATAACTCCATTTTACAGGTTCTAATGCTGGGAATCTGTATTAAGGCTTATATAAAGTTTTTCCTGTGAACTGTAAGTGATACATTTAAGCAGACTTTCTTTTCTAGTTTATGACTTAGACTTCTTTATAAATTTAGTTCTTAATCTTTAAAGATGAGCTTCTAAGCTTAAAATTTTAAAACAGCACTTCATTATGTTGGTGTACTTGTGTCAGATTGTAAGCAGTCTTTTCTGCTGTCGGGTTTTATAGTTTTTCTTTTAACAGAAAGTACATTCCTTTTTCCTTCTTGTTATAGCTAAAGAAGGGGGAAAGGAATGTCTAAAAATGAAATTCCCTGTCCTAGAGAAACCTAGAGAGACAGGATATGCTAATAAAATTTCAAATGCTAGCACAATTTTACAATAGAATTGGTCTTTTTTTTAAAGACTAATAAAATGAATGGGTGTCAAGCTCACTATGAAAAAAAAATCAAAGTGACTGAAATTTACAGAAATAAAAATTAGCAAACAATTATTTTAGGGATATTTTCAAATTTTACTTCATTTTTTTTGAAATAACTTATACCATATGCAATTGCATTTCGTATTGCCAACAACTAATAGAACTTGTTTCATTTTCTTACATTTTTTAAAAATGTGAACTTACTAGAATTCATTTCTGTGGCCTTACAGATGGGTTTTTATTTTGTTTGCAGCAGTTCCTTTAATGCAAAATACCATTACTCTTTTACTAAAATCATGCCCCCTAATGGAAAAATACCTAGTTTTTCCATAGAATTATCCCACTGCATATGTATTGGTGTTTTTATTTTTGCTCCAACGGCTTAATGTGAAAAGCTCCTGCAGATAAAGTGAGCCTGTCATGTGGTTAGTCTTGTTTAAGCCAATTCATTAACTGTGTACTGATACTGTTGCTGTGTTTTTGTTGTTTTTTTAAGTGGATTTTATTCCAGGTGAACTTTTTTTTTATAATAATGTTCGTTTAAAATAAAAACTACATAATGAAAATATTCATGACTCTCTGAAATGGGTTGCAGATTCTGAAAATCTTTCTTCGAATTTATAGGTGTGTGACTCAAACCATGGCTGACTTGGGATATTTTAGCAAACTCTCTGACTTAGAGCTGTTTAAAATGGCCAGATCTCCTGCTCATACTTAGTTCAGAATACATTGAGATTATTCTGTGATAGCACTCCAGCCCTCCCTTCTTAGTCCTTGCAAGTTTACTTCTTGTTGTTTTGTTTTCACTTCCAAAGAACACGGTTCCAGGGCCCAGCCCTACTGATGTTCTACCATGTGCTTACGCACATCTCCAGTCGTAGCCTTTCCTGCTCATCCCCACAACCACTCCAGACCTTCATTATTCTTCTCACGCACCCTACTTCTTTCCTTTCCCTCTGGTAGACAGACCTTTCCTCTCCTGCCTCACAGGGAAGCATCTGCCTAAAACCACCTTAATTGCCTCCCCCTCCCCAGCTCCATGGGCAGCTGCCCTCATCCTCAGCTCCCTCCTCTTGTAGCAGAGGCATTCCTCCTAGTTCGTGCTTTCTCTCTGCCTCTCCTCTGGATTCATCCCTGCTGCCCCTTTATCCTGCTTCTCAGGGAACTCACAGCTCTTATACCTTCAAACACTTATCCTGTGTGATTCCTTTGTCCTTAGTATCTGAGCATCCTTAACTCTTCCACCCCTTTGCCTCATGTCCTTCTCACCTATTGCTCTTTCTCCTCTTCTTGCCATACCTAAGCTTCATCCAAGGGTTGCCTATGCATACTGTCTTCACTTTCTCATTTTGCATGTATTCCTCAGCCTACTCCAGTTTGGCTTCCTTCCTATCACTTCACGGACATCATGTTTACAACTGCCTAGTTGCGAAAGTAGCTGGCAGTTTTCTGTCCTTATCTTAGCTAACTTCTTGTCAGCATTTGATGAGTACTATATTGGCCCTCCCAGAAATGTTCTCTTAATTTCTGTGACAATCTTCCCCACTTTTCCAAAATAATTTCATCCTTTTTCACAGCTCTTAAATTTGTTTCTGTGGTAGACTGAATAATGGCCCCCAAAGATGTCCATTCTAACCCCCTGAACCTGTGAATGTTACTTCATTTGCAGATGTGGTCTTGAGATGGGAGGTTATCCTGGATTACCCAGGAGGGCCCTCTGTAATACCAACGGTCTTTATGAGAGGGGCATAGGAGGAGTCGGAATTAAAAGGAAATGATGTGATGACGGGAACAGGGAGAAAAGGCGTGATGCAGGACTGTGAGCCCTGCTAAAGCAAGATTACCTAGCAAGACCATAATTTAGAATGGAAGAAAAAATAAAGAGCTTCCCAGACAAGAAAAAACTGAAGAAGTTCATCACTGCCAAACCAATATTATAAAAAACTAGAGGCGCAGTGCATGAATTCGTGTACCAGTGGGGTCCCTTGCCCAGGCCTGTGGGATCAGGCCAAAACCGGCTCTCCGACATCCCCCGAGAGGTCCCAGATTTTGAGAGGGAGCAGGCCAGGCCAAGGGACCCCACTGGTGCACAATCGGGGCCAGGGGAGTCACGGGAGGTTAGCTAGCCTGGGAGGGACTGCAGGAGGGCTCCAGGGTGTGTCTGGCTCTTCTCACTCAGTCCGGATCAGCTGGACCCCAGCAACAAGCTAACCTACCAGTCAGAGCATCTGCCCCCTAGTGGTCAGTACACATCATAGCAACTGGTCAAATGGTTGTCTTCCCCCTGGTGGTCTGTGCATGTCATAACAAGTGGTTGAGCAGCCTTAGTATATCATTAGCATATTACACTTTGATTGGTTGAACAGCCGACTGGTCAACTGGACACTTAGCATAGTAGGCTTTTATTATATAGAATGTTAAAGTGGCTTCTTTAAGAAGAAGAAAAAAATAAAAAATATGAATAAAATATATTGCTAAGAAAAAAATTCTCACTGACAAAGGCAAACACATAATAAAAACAATGAGTCAACCAACACTAAGGCCAGTAGAAAGGCTAAAAAGCAAAAGTAGGATAGGAAGATCATGTGTAATTACAACAGCAAATTAAGGGATACACACAAACACACAAGAAAAACATAAACATAAATGTGCAGGGGGTGAATAAAAATGGTAGTGATTCTAGAGTGTGCTCAAACTTAAGCAACTATCAACTTAAAATAGACTACTATAAACATAGCTTGGTATATATGAAGCACATGGTAACCACAACCAAAATCTATAAGAAATAAAGAGAAAGGAATCCAAACAACACTACAGAAAATCATCAACAAGAGAAAAGAGCAGGAGAATAAGAAAGGAACAGAGCCCTAGCCAGTTTGGCTCAGTGGATAGAGTGTCAGCCTGCAGACTGCAGAGTCCCGGGTTCAATTCTGGTTAAGGGCACATGCCCATGCTGCAGGCTCAGTCCCTAATAGGGGGCATGCAGGAGGCAGCCAATCAATGATTCTCATCATTGATGTTTCTATCTCTCCCTCTCCCTTCCTCTCTGAAATCAATAAAAAATATTTTTTTAAAGAAAGGAGCAAAGAACTACAAAAAAATCAAACAATCAGAAAACAATAAAATGGCAATAACTACATACTTATAAATAATTACTTTAAGGACAAAATGCTCTAATTAAAAGATGAATGAATAGCTCTTTCTGCTGCTGTTTTGGTTCTGCATATATGTTAACCACACCAAGTGCCTGGTGAAGCTATCACCAGACCAATATTACATGAAATGTTTAAAGGGCTTCTTTAAGAAGAAGAAAAAGATTAAAAATATGAATAGTAAAATGGCAATAACTACAGACCTACCAATAATTACTTTAAATGTAAATAAGTTAAATGCTCCAATCAAAAGACATTCCTAGGACATCCTGAACTATTTTCTTTCACTTTGAGGCCTTTTCATTTGTCCTTCCATTTCTTGCCTGCTTCCTAGTTTTGCTAATTTTGAAGATGAGACCTGAATGGGTGGGTGTTATTGTTATCAAAACCTCACAAGTTTGGATTGGGTGCCCTTCCCCCTTCCTGTATATTCTCATAGCACCCTATACTTGCCTGTCTGGCTTCCCCACTAGACTGTAAGCTCCATGGAGACAGGAACACATCTGTTTCATTGGTGTATTCCCAGTGCCTAGCATTGTACTTGATACTTAGTAGCATCCAAAATGCATTTTGAATGAATGAACAAATGAATGGTTGAGTAAATATACATCTATCAGCACTGCCAGAAAACAAAGCTCAAGTGAATTCATTAGTATATTGCAAATTACTGGTAGCTATGTCAAACCCTTACTTGATAAATTGCTAAAAATGTGGTATTGTTTTTTGCCTCCTCCCCCCAAAACCCCCCAGTTCTGAGGAATTCTTAGCAAACTATATTTGTATCCATGGTGTGTGCTTTCCTCCTTCCCCCAGTCACCTTTTAGGGATTTAACCCACAATATCACTTAGTACCCTTATGTTTTTAGGTCTTGGGGAAAACTAATAGTAAGTTCATAAAAACTTAAGGAGAGCTGGAAGAGATTAACCAAAGAATTTATAAGCATATTAGAGGCCCAGTGCATGGAATTCATGCACGAATAGGGTCCCTAGCAGCTGCTGGCTGCCGGCTGGGTCTTTCTTTGTTCCGCACCGCCCCCTGGTGGTCAGTGCACATCATAGCAAGCGATTGAACTCCCAGTCCGTTGAACTCCCTAGGGTACACTTCATGCACTGGAGGGGGGGTCCCTCAGTCCGGCCTTCCCCCTCTCACAGTCCAGGAGCCCTCAGGGGTGGGAGGCCACCTGGCAATCAGGGGAAGGCG